CCTATGGAAGTTACAATCTTTTTTAAAGTTGTTCACAGGATCGGTTTGTGTTCTATATAGATATATTTGCCTCTATAGTGACTATATTGTGGCTTCTATATAGTCTTACATTATGTTCTTTGCCCGAAGATTGCAAGCATCACACCTTGATATGCCATTTTATTCAGTATAGCTCTTCCTAAGCGCTTAAAGTCCTCGAGAAGGTATTCTCAACCTTTTCTCCACCGTGTCGATAAATCTTTCTGCTACACACATCGCTTCCCAGGAAGCACGTGAAACATTGTGTAAAAGCCAGCATATACACCTTCTTACAGCACGTGTATGTATTTGTGATATATTATGTTTTCTATATAGTATACAAACGTGAGAACATTCCAGGGCCCTTCGGAAGTACGATGATTCTGGGGCACCGGTGAACAATGCTCGTGTCCTCGAGCTCGGCTTCGAGAAGGGGGTTCAGGTTATCCGAAAGGCCGATGAGGTTGTCGCCGTGGTGGAGGAGATCCAGCCGGACAAGGTGACACTGAAGCTCGCCAGTGATGGGTCGCTGGTCACATGCTCGGCCAATGCTTTCATCCAGGGCAAGTGGAAGAAACACACGGACAAGAGCCAGCCCATCCAGGTGGGGGAGTGGTGGGAGTCTTCCCCGTGTGCATCGCCCGACTTCCTGATCTCCACGGTGAAGGGACGAGTCATGTTGTCAATGCTCCAGCAATACGAAGCCTTCAAACATGAAAAGGCCTTGCAAATCTTCTCCAAGCCCAGGGAGGTGAAGTCGCTGAAAGCATTTGCGGTTGGTGCCCTCCAAGTGCCTATCTGCACGAACCGTGTGGACATCCGTCCCAGCAGCCAGGCCGGCTCGCAGGGTGCGATTTTGATTGGTTCCATGAAAGGTGCAGGAGCGGATATGTCCGTTTACATCGTGCCATCGGTTACGTTTCCAAAGGACGGGAACATCGGCTTCATCTCCCCAGCCTGGTGCATGAAGGCAAGCTGCGACAAGGAGGAATGCAATCTCGAGGTTTCTGCCCCCGCGGCCGCGAAGAACTTTAGTAAGCAAAAGCTCGAGAAGATGAATGCATCGATTCACCTGCCCTCCATCAGGAACTTTCGCAAAATCGAGGTTGACGACAGCCTGGTGATTTTCAGGCCGGACTTGGCCAAAGCGGATGACATCGAGAAGCTCGAGCCCTTGACCCCTACCCCTGCCCCCAAGAAGAAGGCTAGGACCAGCTGAGGCTGGAAGGCTGCGACTTTGGAGCTCCATGGGTGGCCACGGTGATTTTATCAAGGGTCGTGTATATCTGCATACATGGACATACATGTATCTTTATAGTGTATCCTTATAAACAAGAGAGAAATCCTGTAAGATGAATGGTTTGAAGATGTTCTTTGCTGAAAAGCATGAGTTGCCGTGCACATGCATGGTATAGGTCTTCATGTCTATATAAGTAATTGCATTGGGACCTCTATGTATCTAGTCCTTGTATGTAACTTTATATAAACATATGTATGAAATCGACTTTGTGGGCCAGCACCAGGAAGTGCTCGTGAGAGGGGTGTGCATGGCACCCGTTTTTGCATTGATTCTGTGAAGCCGCATCGCGAGAGGCTTGTCAGCTTGCAAGGTCAAATGGAGCTTGTGGCCAGTCATGCAGTCTATGTGTGGATGCAGGATGTGTGTGGCAGCATGAAGTGGTATAATCAGACTTCATAGCAATCTCATGCAGGCTTGCAGGGCTTTGCTCGCGAGCTCGTCAAAGAGAAGCACAAATTGTGCATAGGCATTATTTTAGTCAAGTTGTTTCCTTCATGGGTCCATTTTAAAAATGTCCATATAGTGATCCTTCGTATCGGGCGTTTGGGGTTTGGGGTTATAACAGAGTGTCGGTAGATAGGGTTTAGGGGTTTCAGGGTTTATGTGGTATATAAGGTTTTGCTCTATATAGTGTTGGTGTGTACGGCTTTAAACCATTTCAAGCAATCCTCTATATATAGCACGGATGTATCTAAGCACAGCCACACAGTGAGACATACATGTATGTATATATATATATGTATGTATACACTGACACACACGGGCACATCCGAACCTGGCTGAAGTGTACACGTAGCTTGGCTGTGGCGCCCGCGGGGGTTTTGGATTGTTGGTGTCGAACTGCATCGTGGGCTGTTTGTGAGCTGGCACGCTGAAACGATAAGCCGGTTGCAGGTGCATGTAGTGGCATGTTGCACAGCATTGGCACTTTTCTCCTGTGTCCTGTGTGCCGCCTTCGTGGCTTAATCAGATTCATGGCAATCTGAGACTTGCAGGGCTTAGCTCGCAAGCCGGTGTCAGCAGGACTCGGCTCGCGACACCATGGACGATGGGCAGCAGATGGCTGCTGATGCAGAGGGCTCCGAGCCTGCAGATGGGGCGGCGATGGATGCACCGACACAGATCTTCAAAGCCACATGCATCAAAGGACCCAATCTGAAGCAACCATGGCTTCCAGATGTACAATCAGTGAGCGGAGTGGACTACATAAAACTGGGAAAATGGGACCGTGACCTGACTTTGTTTGCGACCGGCATACCCCTCAACTTTGCGGCAACAAGGAAGCGGCCCAGTCACAATATCAATGTGATATGGTTCGAGGACATGAAGAAGCTTCGACAAGAAGCTTGTGACTCGGCCGTCAAGAAGGTGATCGTTGAGGCGGCAGAGTCCGAGGGTAAACCAGTGCCGAAGAGAATCAGACCGGCCCGGGAGGAGGACCAATTCCTCATCGGCAAGACGGTGATGCTCGATTGCCCGGAGGTTCGCGACAAAGAGGACCAGGCCCGAGACGAGCCCCCCAGCAGTAGTTTATAGGGTTTAGGGTTTAAGGTTTAAGGTTTTTTATAGAAGCCCCAAAACAGGTGAGTAGATAGCACCCTTTTGGTTTGGTTAATTGGCTTTGATAGATGCAGGGATACGTGAGTCGTCCAAAGACATGACTTGTATTACTTCGTTATGTAGCTGTCCTGTATAACAGGTCTTGGAGCCGGCAAGGCA